TAGGTATATATATAGATAACAAACTTAAATTTGATCAACATATAGCAAAAATTACTAAATCCTCATTTATAAGGGCAAATAATATCCTAAGAATATTACCAAAAACATTACCAATAGACACATATGTTAAGGCATTCAAGACATACGTAAGACCAATTATGGAATATTCCACTGAAAATTTTAGCCCAAAACTAGAATATCTAAATAAGCAATTAGAGAGACCTCAAAGAAGCTTTACAAGGAAAGTTTTAAGATATAAATACAAATACCAGAAAATAAGCTATAACGAAAGACTAAAAAGATGCAAACTCCCTCCAACTAATATTCGTCGTATAAGAACAGATCTTATGACAACCTTCAAAATAATAAAGGGGTGCTATAAAATAAATCCAGAACAAATATTCTCAAAACCTAATAGAAATAATCCGCGCTTGCATAGATATCAAATATTTAAGAAACAAGCTAAGAATAATCATTTCTTTTCACATAGAGTCATAGATAGGTGGAATAAACTTCCAAAAAAAGAAATTGAGAAAATCAATACTATACCGCAATTTAAAAAATTTTTAGACAAAATATTAACTACAGAAGATTATAATTTATCAGTATGAATTAATGGAGTGTATTAACATAAAATCCTAACCCAAATGTTCACTTTCTTACCTAAACAAATTTACTTAACATTTAAATAAAATTATTTTTAATACAAATATTTTTTTTTATACCTAAATATACCTATATATTTTTTATAACATCTAATTTTATACATTTAATTTGTTTTTTTTTCTGTGGAGTCCATTATTTATTTATTTTTTTTTTAACTTAACATTTAAAAAAACCGTCATATTGTATTTGATTTTTTTTTTGTACGTTACCTCTCCATAAGTGATCCCTGTGGATCCAGGAGTTTTATTTTATTGTTTCACACTATATTTATTTGTGTTCGATAAAGAAAAAAAAAAAAACCGACAGTCTCTTTTTCAGTGCCGCGGGCAAAAATTTTGAAAATTTATAAAGTTAAGAAGCAGATTTTTTCCTTTTTTAGCGCCGCAGGCGAAAATTTTGGGATTTTAAAGTCAGATTTCATTGATTTTCGCATTTTATTCAAATAATGCCAGAAAATTTGAAAAATTTTAAAAATTGATAAAAATAGGGCAAAATATGGTAAATGTACAAAATAGGGAAAAAATAGGGCGAAAAGATCAAAAATAGGGAAAATGCCCTGTAAATAAGGCAAAAGGGACACACAGGCCTCGGCGGTAGGTTGGGCTCTGGTAGTTGGCCTGTCAAGATGACCACGTCAAGTTGACGTCAATATGCTGTTGTAGACCACGACCACGTCAAGATGACTGTCGTCGACCACGACCACGTCAAGATGACTGTCGTCGACCACGACCACGTCAAGATGACTGTCGTCGACCACGACCACGTCAAGATGACTGTCGCCGACCACGACCACGTCAAGATGACTGTCGACGACCACAACCACGTCTTCGACCACGACCACGTCAAGACGACTGTCGTAGACCACGTCAAGATGACTGTCTTCGACCACGACCACGGTCGTCGACCACGTCCAGATGACTGTCGACGACCACAACCACGTCAAGATGACCGTCGTTGACCACGACCACGGTCGTCGACCACGACCACGTCAAGATGACCGTCGTCGACCACGACCACGTCAAGATGACTGTCGTCGACCACGACCACGTCAAGATGACTGTGCCGACCACGACCACGTCAAGATGACTGTCGACGACCACAACCACGTCTTCGACCACGACCACGGTCGTCGACCACACCACGTCAAGACGACTGTCGTAGACCACGTCAAGATGACTGTCTTCGACCACGACCACGTCTTCGACCACGACCACGGTCGTCGACCACGACCACGTCAAGACGACTGTCGTAGACCACGTCAAGATGACTGTCTTCGACCACAACCACGTCTTCGACCACGACCACGGTCGTCGACCACGACCACGTCAAGACGACTGTCGTAGACCACGTCAAGATGACTGTCTTCGACCACGACCACGGTCGTCGACCACGTCCAGATGACTGTCGACGACCACAACCACGTCAAGATGACCGTCGTTGACCACGACCACGGTCGTCGACCACGACCACGTCAAGATGACCGTCGTCGACCACGACCACGTCAAGATGACTGTCGTCGACCACGACCACGTCAAGATGACTGTGCCGACCACGACCACGTCAAGATGACTGTCGACGACCACAACCACGTCTTCGACCACGACCACGGTCGTCGACCACGACCACGTCAAGACGACTGTCGTAGACCACGTCAAGATGACTGTCTTCGACCACGACCACGGTCGTCGACCACGTCCAGATGACTGTCGACGACCACAACCACGTCAAGATGACCGTCGTTGACCACGACCACGGTCGTCGACCACGACCACGTCAAGATGACCGTCGTCGACCACGACCACGTCAAGATGACTGTCGTCGACCACGACCACGTCAAGATGACTGTGCCGACCACGACCACGTCAAGATGACTGTCGACGACCACAACCACGTCTTCGACCACGACCACGGTCGTCGACCACGACCACGTCAAGACGACTGTCGTAGACCACGTCAAGATGACTGTCTTCGACCACGACCACGTCTTCGACCACGACCACGGTCGTCGACCACGACCACGTCAAGACGACTGTCGTAGACCACGTCAAGATGACTGTCTTCGACCACAACCACGTCTTCGACCACGACCACGGTCGTCGACCACGACCACGTCAAGACGACTGTCGTGGACCACGTCAAGATGACTGAAATTTTAAATCTTGAAATTTTAAAATTTGATAAAAATAGGGCAAAATATGACAAATGTACAAAATAGGGAAAAAATAGGGCGAAGAGATCAAAAATAGGGAAAATCCTCTATAAATAGGGTAAAAAGGCCACCCTGAAACAAATTCTAATTTTTTAGTCATCCAAATGGAAAAGAAAGCGCAGAATTAAATGTAAATTTTTGTCCTGCAAAAAATGTTTTTGCAGAATTATTTATAAAAGTATTTGCTGGCTATTCAATTGAGTACTTTTTTTAAATTTATTTTTTTAAAGAATTTTTTCTTAGACGTCAATTGCGTGTATTTGAGGTTAACCAAGTTTTGCCTCGTTTTGTTACTTTTGTCCAAATTGATCAATCTATTGCCCAACAAAAACCTCCAGAATGCTTTGTTTCTTTTCGTTTGCAAAGTAGAATAGATCAACTTCGTCTTTGGATTTGCGAAAATTTTGTTTTTGTTGATGAAGAAAAATTGCAAAATGAGCCTAGTTTAGTCTCTGAAAGTGAGGGAAACGATGGGGGAAAGAAATTACAGCTTTACTTTTTTTGTACAAGAAATCAAGAAATGCTTTACATTAATTGGGATTTAAATAGGTAGATTGTTATATAATCTGATGTATATAGGATAAGACCCTTTAAAATCACAAATTAAAAAAACATTCTTTCAGTGGAGAATTTCAATTTAGACACAATGATATCCAAAATGTAACAGATTTAATTCAGGTTTAAAGCAAAAAATACATAACAAAAAAATATTCTTTAGTCAATGTGTGCAAATATGAATGTGAGAGAATTGCGTAGTAGGGCTCATTTCCCTTATATTTTGGCAAATGTGAAAAATATTGTTGAATCGGTTTGCCTTCTTTAGTACAGACGATTCGAATGAAGTTTTGTAGGGAGGAATTTTCGAATTTTTCTGAAATTCATAAACTAAAATAAAACTTGGATTCTTTTTTTCGTTCGGAAAAACGCGGAGCAACCCATAACCTGACAGTCAGTCCATGTCAAGGATTAAAAAATCGGATTAATACAAAAATAAATTTTGTCCAAGTTTTAGTTCTGATTCTGTAGCCCAAAACTAAAATAAGAATTCCCACAAAATTTAGATGGATGAACGTTACCAAGTAAACGAAAGATTGTCTAGTGAAATGGTCGAACGCATAAATTTTGTGAGAGAATGTGTTGTCAGGGCAGAGGATATGCTTGTTATCCGAGATTTGTGAGAATACTGAATTTATTTTTTTTTACTTAAAATTATTTTTAATATATAGTTCTGATGCAAGAAAACTTTATGGTCGATTAACAATATTAAATAAAGAATTAATTGGACAGAAAGTGAAATTAGAATTTTAAATTAAAAATAAAAGTATTTTTAGACGGTTAGAATGGCAGCACGTAAAGAATTACTAGACGGACTTAAATTTTTAAATGTTTCAATTGATCAGTTTGCCCGTTTACGAGTTGGAGAACCTTCATATTCTCTTATAAAAGAGTGTAGAAAAGCTATTGCGAACGATAATTTAGAAGCTCTTCCAAAACTATTTGAATTCGGTGTTTAAACTTGAATTTGATAATTATGTATTTGTTAATTTAAAAAGAACAGTTATGTATTTTTTGAATTGTTAAAATGTAGAGGAAATATTATCTATGTATACGTATTCTTTATCGGAAAATATTTTTATCGTTAAAAAAATATTTGTTTCTAATACTAGTTCTTGTTGAATTTTTGTCTTTCTTGTGACAAAGGACTTTTCTTGATATGAAATTTACTAGAATTTCTCAAGAATATTTGTAAATACCTATTCTGTATAAAGAACATGGCGACTAATATCGTCATAAACTAATTCCCCTCATAAAAATGAGAGAAAATTCTTTCCGTTTTTCTAGGGTACGGTATTCTGTAGCCGACGGCACCGAAAGGTACATTTTTAAAAATTTAAACGATGTCAAATCGTTTAAGCTCCGAAATGCCATTAAGGTTCAGGATGAAAAAATTACGAATATGCAGATTTATGAGTTATTTTTATTGCATGATCCACACACAAGTCTGATAAAATTTTATTTCAGAAATCAATTTCGACCTTCGCGTCATTTTTGACGTAAAAATTTTTCTCTAAATTTCCTTCTATTATTTTGTTTTTGACATTTTAATCAATAAAAATTAAATTTTATGCAAAACAACAAAAATTCTTCGGAACAAATACTTGTAAGACGTTTGCGTCCAATTTATGATGCTATTGACGCTGGACAATACAAAAAAGCAATATTAGAGGCAGACAAAGTTTTGAAAAAACATTCACAAATTAACGGAGCTCGTGTAATTTATTTATATATTTTTTTGTAATTAATTTATTAAATTTTAGGCTCTTAAAGCTTTAGCACTTATTAGAACAGGCAAATTTTTAATTTATTTTTTAGAATATTTTTTAATTTTAGACCGAACTAATGAAGCTTTAAATATTTTGAGGAACCTCGAAACAGATCTCGCTGATGAAGAATTTAATGAAAATACAATTCAAGCAGTTTGCCATTGTTATAAAGTTTATTTTGAATTCTTTTAATTTTAAAATCTAAAATATGGTAATAATGAACCTGACAGACCCCATTTTTTTCTCCCCATGTTTTTTCCTATATATGTACAAAATGGTCAGACTTTTTCCTTTTTTCCATCCCAATTGCTCTTCTATATTTTGGTTACAAACAATCGAAAGTAATTAATTTTTATTCCTTTTTGGATCAAAGTAAGGAAAATTGAAGGAAGAAGTCTGATCAATCTGCAAATATGTATATATGTTGAAACTTCGGACGGAAAAAATTGGGTCTGCCAAGTCCATTATTACCAAAAATATTTAGGAGTTAAATAGTCCTGAACGAATTGTTACACTCTATGCTTTATTGACCAAAAAATATCCTAAAAACGAAAAATTGGCTCGAGAATTGTTTTTTGCACATATTAGGACCAAAGACTTTCGACACCAGCAACAAATCGCCACTCAACTTTATAAGGTTTTATTTATTAAAAATAATTTTTAAAATATTTTTTGAGGACACAAATATGCCTCAATATTGTTGCTGGGCTATTATGAGTATTTTAATGCAAGGATATCAAAATAAAAAGCTTGCTGATTTAATGCTTTTTCCACTCGCTGAAAAAATGCTGGAAAAATTGCCAATAAATGATTTATGTCGAATGCAGGGAGGTATAATCTTTATTCTAATTTTATAAATTTGGTACTTTCGATAAGGTATTGAATTACGTTTAATTATGCTTGAATCTCGTGGAAGAATTTCAGAAGCAATCGAATTTATTGAAGTAATTCAAAGGCAGAGGCTTTTTACGGATATTGACAAAATGAGATTAAAAATTAAATTAAACAATTTATATCGTGCATGTGGAAGTTCAAATTCTTCAATTAAATGCATTGAGGAAGAGTAGGTTTTTTATTTATTGTTTCGGCACAGCTTTGAAATTTTTTGAATGAAATTAACCTTAAATTTATTTAAAAAATTTTAAACTAAAAATGCATTTCAGTATGAATGAATGGACAAATTGGGTTAATTTAGTCGATTTAATAATTACAAAAGTTTCTTCAATAGAAGATCAATCACAAAGAGTCAGGTTTAAATATTTTCCTTTTTTAACATTTTTTTAAATTTAAAGTTCTCTAAACAAACATATCGAAATGTGGGATGTTTTAATGAGTGAATGTTATGGAAAAGTTTCGCATGCATCTGAATTAAGAGGTCCATTGATGGGCCGTTTACTTTTTATGGATAAAATTATTAATTCAAATATTTTAACAAAAGATCAATTAATCGAAACAAAACTTGGTTTTTTATGAATTTATAAATTATAATTTAACGGATTTATTTAGGAAGTCCTTTAAAGGCATTAGAAGAACTTTCAGATATTGTTTGTGACAGACCTTTTGGCTTTGCTGATATGAAATTATTTCTTCATTTATTGAAAGATGAAGAAGGGAAACAATTATTGGATCATATTTCTTTTATTACTGTTGGCATTTAGAAGAATATTTTTTGGTTTTATTAAAGATAAGTCGGATTTCTAGGCATTAAAAGGCAAAAATGGGGGTATTTCAGACAAACTATTTTGGATTATTATTTTTTGAATTTTAGTCAATTATAGATCATTTTATGGTTTTTGATTGATTTTAGTAAAATAACAGATATTTGCTTAAAAATTCGACTCTTAGTAAAGAGAGACGTAGTGATTTATATTAGGTTGTTTGCAATATATATTTTGTTGGTTTATCATTTTTAGAATTTTTCCCGATTTTCGAAATTATTTTGTCTGAAAAGTAAAGAATTTTCTAAAACACGACCAAAAAATTTTCTTATCATATTTTGAGGAAATTTATTAGCAAGATAAATGAGGTAAAGTCTTAGGGAAAAATTTTTAAGATGAAACACATTTTATTTTTTCCATTGTTGTATAATATTAAATATACGAAAAACTAATTTTAATTTTTTTTGTTGTTATAAATATAATCTATTATATGTATTACTTATCTAACAATAAACTTTATCAGAGTATATTAAAATAACTTTTAGACTAAAATGGAAGATTTAGCAAGTGGAGAATGTTCAGGCGTCGATTCGAATAAGAATCTACCAACTGCAACAAACGAATCCGTTGGCTCATTTCCTTTAAGATTAAAAATCAACAAAAAGAGGCAAGAAGGAAATCCTCTCATTAAATATATTCGAAATGTCGTTTTTGAATGGGATTCGGAAATAAAGTAATTTAACAGTTTTTTTTATTAATTTTTGTTTTTAAAGGAGTGATTTTGAATGTTCTCGCAATTGTGGCATTGTTTACCTCAGTGCAAAATATCATAAATTACATCCTGGATATATTGAAACACGATTGAAGGATTTATCAAGATATAGATTTAAAGTATGTTTTGTTTTAATTTTTCAAGCGGAAAGACGAGATGGGGAAATATTGTAGAAAAAATTGTTTTGACACTAAGGGGTTTGAGTTGTAGCTTAAAAAATTCACTTTTCTTATCATTTACCTCCTAAAATTTTTTCACTTTCTCCATTTCAGGGGGGGGGGGCTATGACCCCAGAAGCCCCCTGGCTACGCCCATGTTTGACACTTAATAAATTCAGCTTCAAAATAATTAAAATTTCATTAAGATACTCTTACTTCTCATCAACGTGGATGACCCGTCATTTTTGCTTCGCGATTTGAATTTGCTTTGTTATCGAGTTCAAATAACTCTTGTTTTAAGTTACTCTGTCGAAGAAGCTGCTGAATATGTTGAAACTTTTAAAAAGACTGAAAACAAGAACTTTGAGAAAGCTTTGGAAGATATAAATAAATGGAAACAACAATAAATATTTAAAAATATTTTTAAACGGTTAAATTAAATTTTTTTTGTTCTTAAACGTTTTTAATGTCAAAAGCATTCCTTTCTTGCTTGAAATATTTTAGCATTCATTAAAGAATTGTGAAATTATTAAATATTTTTATGTATACATTTTCACTAAATATTTCAGAAAATATGTTCAATAATCTTTTTAACTGCAAGCTACAATTATTGGCTCTCAAAACTTTCAACAGCAAATATTCTCTTTGTGTCAAACAGCCTTCTATTTATTTTCGACGACATTTCAACTTTGCTCCAAAATTTTTGATCTCTTCTAATGCTAACAATAGACTACAATCGAGGATATTTTTAAATAATTTATTACAAATTGGAAGAAAATCTGGGAAATCTTTGCGATTGTTTTCTTTTTCACTTGGAATTTTTTATCCAATTAGCAGGTTTTTTAATTAAGAATGTCTAAAGAATTTAGCCACAAAAGGAGAATTTTCTGTTCTTGGCCTAAAAATATTTTCAAAAATATTTTAATTTTTCGCTAACACAAACAATTTTAGCTTTCAAAAATATTTTCATTGATACGCCAGAGATTCCTGAATCATTAAATATATTTTTATTTTATTTAGAGTAGCACAATGCAGACAACATCAATCCACTCGTATTGACCATTCTCATCAACAACGATCTATTGCTCCATTATCAGTCACATGGACAGAATTTTGGTTATTGATTAGGCCGTATATTCATTGGTTAATTTGTGCTGCTTTGGTATTTGTTAAATTTAAAAGTTTTTTTCCAACTTTTATTTCAAGACTGCTTGTTGTGTTGCCGCTCTCAATATTCAAATTCCGATAATTCTTGGCCAGCTGGTCAACCAAATTTATTCTTTTATTAAACAAAATGGTGTCGATGTTAATTTGGGTGAATTAAAGCCTATAGTTTTTAAATTAGTCTCTGTTTATGTTGCACAGGTTTGTAATTGAATATCTTCTCAAAATTTATTTCTTCTATGAATTTTAGCGTAATTTTTAATATAAAGTCATTTTTATAACTTGAAAAAAGCACAATCCGAAATAAAAATTGAACAAATGATTTTAAAATAATTTTGTCCCCATTTTATAACCCTCAATTTTAATCCTAACAGAAATTTTTATAGTAAATTTAACTAATTTTATCTTTCCCTGCTAACTTTTTGATTTTAGGCTTTCACCACATTCTTATGCATTGCGTCCCTTTCACAAATGGGAGAGAGAATGTGTGCTGATTTGCGTGTTCGATTGTATTTTTACTAAACTTTCATTACTTTAATTAATATTTTTAAAGATTTTCTCATCTTCTTGAATTACCAATGCCTTTTTTCGATGCTCAAAATAGTGGAGAGTTAAGCGATCGTTTAAATTTTGATGTCCAACAATTCAAAAGTTCTTTTAAAGAATGTACGGCACAAGGATTGCGAACAACTGCACAGGTGTTTATTTTAAATATTTAATTTTGAAATTAATTTTTTTGACAATCATGGCTTATTTCGACATAGTTTTTATTCAAATTTTCCAAACTTTTTGTTTCTATTATTTTTCTTGTTTTATTCTTAAACCCACGGTTTATTGAAAAATTGTCCTCGTTAATCTTATTGTTTTTCTCAATTTTCGGATTGTTGGTTGCATTTGTTCTCTGTACTTATTGAGTCCACAAATGACTTTATTTACTGTTGGAATTGTCCCAATTGTTGTTGTAACTGGATCTTTATTTGGTAGAATTCTTAGAAAATTAAGTGCTCGAGCACAATCACAGAATGGAATTGTTGCTGGAGTCGCATCGGAAGCGTTCCAAAATATTAGAACAGTTAAAGTATTTGCAATGGAGGAAGCTGAACAGAGGTTTTTTTAATTTTTTCAAGTTTTACTCTCTAATTTATGGTTTTTTAGTCTCTATGAACGGGAAGTTGAAAAAACAAAGTCACTTTATGGTCAACTTGGACTAGGAATTGGGTTATTTCAAGCTGCTAGCAATTTATTTCTTAATGGTTTCTTTTAATTTTTTCTCTAATTTTATATATTTTTAAGGTTTAATACTTGGTGTTTTATATGGAGGAGGGCAATTAGTAATTTCTAATGTTCTTTCGCCTGGTGATTTAATGGCATTTTTAGCTACTGCACAAACTATTCAACGTTCTCTTGCTCAACTTTCTTTTGTTTTTGGTAGTGGAATAAAGGTTTAAATTACTATTTTTCGATTTAAATTTACACTTATTTTATTTTGAGTTAAGGTTTGGTCTTCGTGTGGAAGAATTATGGAAATTTTGCGTCTAGATCCTAAATATGGCAAAAGTGGAACATTTGTTATTCCTGCACACAGTCTTGTTGGAAATATTGAACTTTCTAATATTTACTTTTCTTACCCAACGCGTCCTGGTCATGAAGTACTTAGAGGTCTGAATATGAATATTGGAAATGGACAAACAATTGCAATTTGCGGATCATCTGGCGCAGGTTGTTAAGTCTACTTTTAGATTAATATTTTTATTAAATAATTATGGATAGGAAAATATTCACTAAATATAACGAAAAAAATAGTGAAAATGTGTTTTAAAAATTAAAATTTTTAAAAATTTATTAAAATAGTTTGAAGGAAAGAGTACAGTTGCCGCATTAATTGAACGTATTTATGAACCAGTTGCTGGCCGAATAAAACTTGATGGTATTGAATTAAATAAATTAGATTCAAAATGGTTAAGAAGAAATGTCATTGGCGTTATTTCACAAGAACCTGTTCTTTTTTCTACTTCGATTAAAGAAAATATTCGTTATGGGAAAATTGATGCAACAGAAGACGAGGTTTTTTTTCAATAAGATAATTTTTAATTTATATAAATTTAGATTAAACATGCAGCCGATTTAGCAAATGCTAGTCAATTTATTGAACAATTTCCTGAGGGTTATGATACAATTGTTGGCGAACGAGGCGTTACTTTAAGTGGAGGACAGAAGCAGAGAATTGCTATTGCTAGAGCTCTCCTTAAAAATACACCAATTCTTATATTAGATGAAGCAACTTCTGCTTTGGATACTGAAAGTGAACGTTTAGTGAGTGTTTTGGTTTATATTAGGCATATTACCAAGGGTATACCCAGAAATATAATTTTCTGAAGGCGGTGAGGTTGGGGCTTTTGAATGTTCTTGGAATCAGGACCATGAACGGAACATTCTCTGAAATTGTGAAAACATTAAATAATTTATACTATAGAATTGTTTTCAGATTCATCAAGCTTTGAACCGAGCACTAAAAGGTCGGACAGTCATCGTCATTGCCCATCGGTTAAGCACAATTCGCAATGCTGATTCTATTTATGTGTTAGAAGGTGGTCAAGTTGTTGAGGTTTATTAATTTATAAAAATCTTATTCAAGTTTATTTTTAGAAAGGAACACATCAACAGTTGATCAAAAATACAAATGGAAAATATTATGGTTTAGTTAAGGAACAAGAACATTTTCAGAACAATGACAAGGAACGAATTATAGGTGGATGATTTTATTTTTGGATTAAAGACCTTGTTGAATAATTTCAAAAATTTTGTTTTCATCTTTACAAATGATAAATTTACTATAATTTTCTAAAAAAGGTATAATTTATGTACTAACATAAGTAATGAATCAATTGAAATATATTTAAAGTGAATCCCATTAAAATCAAACTTTAATTAAATTTTTATATACAAAGTCGTCCTTTAATAATTTTTCTTTATTTTGTAGATTAAATATAAGCATTATACCATTTTCTTAAGAATAGCTAGTGCATTTGTTGTTTGGCGGAGCACCCATTTGGCTTAGGACACCTAAATAAAACAAATAATAGTAGATTTTGATCAAAAGCAAGATAAAATTTCCAAGATCGAATCCAATACCGGGATTTTACCCAGGAACAAACATTTTTAAAATAAACTTACGGTCAAGCCAGGCTAGAGGCCCGTTCAAATGAATTTCAAGCCAGCATGGAGTAGAGGTAACACTCTGTCGATGATATTCACTTCCCCAACCTTTTACAAATGACATACGAATTGTACAAAATCTAAAATTAAATTACAAATTTTAAATATTACGATAATCATTTTGTACGTTTTGGCATATCTGTTAATAGCCCCTCGGGCCGTAACCCTAAATCAATTTAGAGAAACCCCGATACTCGTATAAAAGAAATTTTTATTTGTACTATAGTAACACGAACCTGGTTAACGAATAGACAGATTCAAATCCCTGTTTTACTGCTGTGTTAAGCAACTTTCCAAAATCCTTCATTGAAAAGAGTTTAAGATTACAATCTGTAAAAAACAAAATATAATTTCAGGTTTAAAAAATTCAAAAATTGAAGGCTGGTCAGAACATATAAATACGTTAGATTATAAAACACCCATAAATTTAATTGTAAAAATAATTCCATACATTGTGGAACTTTATAAACTGTCGCAGCTGGCGCAGAAAGTTGTGCAGAAGCACTGGGGGCTTGAATAAAAACTTTTGCTGTTTCACTTAAAGTTTCGCAGTAAACGTCGCCTCCAATGCTGTAAATTCGAGCACCTTAACGAGAATATATTTTTAATTATTATTTTATAATTACCTCGTCCAATACATTTACGAGCATTAACAACATCTTGAGGTCTATGCAGATTAGGAAGTTGACCTAGACAGAAACGATCCTCATCGGTTGGAGAAGTGTAACTGGAAAGTTGAAATTAGAAAATATGTAATATTTTTGATCAAAATATTCGAATAATAAGCTTAAAAGAGAGCTGAAATATGTATACAGTTCCTACCAGGGATGGTCTATGAAGATTAGGAAGGAGGGGGGGGGGTTGAGAAAAAAGTCGGGTCGGGTTTTCAAAATTTTCTTCGGATCGGGTTTCGGGTCGAAAAAAGTCATGATTTCGGGTAACCCGTCCCATCCCTGGTCCCTAAATACAATTGGGAATGGGTCTCCGAGTTTAGTGCCTTAAAAGTTATAGATAGATAAAAAGTTTATTGAAAGTAACATACCCATCGATTACTAAACTTGGCTTTGAAGCATGAAAAACATCGCCAACACGTTGATTTAATTCATAATAAGTCAAACTGCACCAAAATGTTGGTTCTTCATATTCTACAATTGAAATAGCCGCTGCTTCTGCTGCAGTTGAAGGAATGTCAGCATTTGTAGGTGTTTGTTGTTGATTTGATTCTTTTCTTTGGTGCATTTCTGTGGTACGCTCCATTATACGATCAAAACGGGCCGATTCTTCTACCAAATCAAAGGGACCGGAACGATTTTTGTTTGTGAAATTGAATTGATTCTAAATTGAAGTAAAAACAGTACAATTTTTCAATACAAAATTTCCAACCTGGCTCGTAAAAAGTGGACTAGATTGTTGGCCACCAGCATCGGAAAGAGGGCTATTTACTTGTTGATCCATATCTAGATCATCGCTCAAATAGCCTTGTGGGGAAACTGAATTAAAAAAATTTTTATATCAGGCCCGTAGCCGGGGGGGGGGGGGGGAATTCCACCTCCCCTCGAAACGTGAAAAGGAAAAATTTAGGGAGGGGATTGGGCAAAAAAGTGAATTTTTTGGACTACGGCCTTCTAAAATTCCCAAAATTTTCTACAATTAGCTAGGGTTAACAAAAAAATAATTATGAACATCGGGACCTTTTGTAACAATTACCTAATTAAATTGACTAATGGAGTAGTCGGTTCTTGGGAAATTTTCGGATGATATTCGAAACCCGACCCGACAGCTGACACACAAATCGAATATTGTCATAGTTAGAGTTGCAAGACAATTTAATTTATAAATATAACGAAAATAAAAAAGAATAGTCTTACATTCATGTGAAATTGGTGAATTCATGCCCAATGAACTTTCTACTGAATTTGGACCAGCAAAACCGCTGTAAATATGATTAAAAGTGTGAGGTATGTTAGAAGACGAGGATGTCGATTGGTGTTGATTTAATTCATTTCCATTACTTCCACCACTTATATCCATCATTTGAATATCCATAGCAACACCACTATCATTTTCACTGGTAGATTGAAAGTCAGAACCGAAAAGTTGAGGTTGAAGACTAAGAATTTGTTCATAACTCAATGTCATGTTTGGAACCTTAAAAATTATTTTAAAAAATATTAAGTAATTGAAATAGGATCAAAGTGGCCCTCTAACAAAAAATACTCTAGTTTTGCTTAAACAAGTGGAATAAAATCAAACAAATTAATTTGTAAAAGGGGGCGTAGCCGGGGGGGGGGGCTTTGGGGCTATAGCCCCCCCCTGAAATCGACCGTCTGGCTACGCCCTTGATCCCCTGCCATTTAAAACCTCAAAACTAACTTTAGCGTCAAGTCCTCCATCCTCCGATGCTCGAATAACGCTAAAATTCTCAGGACATTCCGTAGCAGGATTTCGGCGAACAACAACTTTGGGATGTTCTAAAAATTAAAAGAAAATGATTAAAAATTAAATTTGAAGAAACTCGGATTTTCAATTGTTTCATAATGGTAGGGATTTACACAAACTTGTTCAAGCCGTTTGTTTTTGTTAAATGGGTAGAGACAATTAGAGGTTGGACGAAGTTGATGATGAGTTAAAATATCTGTGAATATAAGATAATAAATTTTAGATTACTTTTAAAAAATTATAAAGCAAATTTATTTTGGGCCCTCCTATCCCCTCAAGTGACGAAAACATGTGTATAATTTAAGAAGGGGTCTCATAATTAGAGCTCGGCATGGGACAGGACCTCGTACGGGTTTTACGAGATCCAGTCCCGGAATCCCGGGTTTTCAACGAAAAACGGGATTACCGGGATTAATCCCGCGGGATCACGTCCCGTACAAAATTTTGAAAAAATCTCGTTACGGGATCCCGGGAATGCTATTTTGCCGACCTCTACTCATAATGTCGGACATATGTGTTACATAATAATCTATTAATTTTTAAAAATAACATACTTTGAAATCTGCAATACTTGCAACATAAAAAATGAGGAAAGGATTTCATTTGGCCACTATATGCAGTCCGTTCTTCTGGGGGTCTTTAAAATGGATTTATTAACAAAACTTCTAACGGTTTTTAGATTTAAAAAGTTGTCATATTATCTATTAATTACGCTTACATTGTGTAGACAACGCAGGGTGTTTCCGAATTCTCTGCTGAAATTGCCCGTTGCAACCCCTCCAGACATTTACTTTTTCGGAACTTCTTCAGCAATAATTTCAATTCAGCTTTATCAGCAGATGCACGGTCATTTTTTGGCTAAAATTGATAAAAAGGAAATGAAGTTACCCAGAAAAAATTTAAAAAAACCGATTGATCGCCAGATTCAATCTGCTCATTTCCAGCAAGCATTAAATGCATTAAACTCTTAACAAACATAATAAATATTTATATAAATGTTATCAGAAACCTTTATTTTCTTCGATCCAAGTCCTCTCATTTCGAAGAAAATTTGAATTAATGAAACTTTATTTTTGTAAAATATCAAGTATTTATTGAATTAAAGTTTATTTTAAACACTAACAAGTTTAAACAATTATTTATGCAAATGCATAACAAATCTCCCAAATTTAGTGAATATTTCATCACTACCCCAAAAAATAAACGGACAAAAGATAATCTTTAAAAAAGATATTTAGTACAAAAACTAACTTTTGGCTGAAAATATCTTTTGTCAACTTTCCTTTTGTCCGGACACAAAAACAAATTTTGTTTATTTTCAAGAAGAATCGAGAATAGAACTAGAGATCGGAATTTTGAAAAAACCGGGACCGGGAAACGGGAAACGGGTTCTGAAGGTCGACCGGGAGGGACCCGGACCGGGAAAACCGGGAATTCCCGTTCCCGGTTTCATCCCGGTCAAAAATGACCGGGACCCGGACCGGGAAACCGGGAAATTTAAAAAAAATTTTTTAATTCATTTAAAAATTTCAAAAAGTTATGGGAGTAGTTATTTATTGAAAAATCTGATTTATAAATAGAAAAATTTAATAAATCAGTAAAATAAATCAATAAAACAAATGTAAATTACAATAAATTAAAACATAAAGCGGATTACGTAGGGCTAAAGGGATTTGAGAGGCTAGAGAAGGATTGTGGGATATTGGGAGATTTTGGAGTTTAAGATCTCCCGATAGGCTCCTCAAATTTTTTTATATCGCCTATAGGTATTCCTCATCTAATTCCCTTTAATCCCTCCTAATCCACCTTGATGCTGATTTAATTTTTATTTAATTTTAATTTTTATTTAATCCCTCCAAATCCACTCTGATCCTCTCTGTGCAATAGTGATATCAGGGATTAAAAGAGATATCGAGAGATTCAAGTATTTGTTGGAGCATTAAGAGAGATTATGGAGAAAGACCTCAACCACCTATATCACCTGATATCTATTCAAATCCCTTCAAGTGGAAGGCAATGATATCAGATGATTAAGGCAGATCTAATGGATTTAAAGGGATAAAGATGGCTTAATCACCAGGTCCCTTGATAAAATCGCACACTATACACTAATTTCCCTAACTTTTCATCCCTCCAAATTTCTCCGTTCCAAATTCTTCAGCGAAAATTTTGAGAATTTTGGAAGGTCAAACAGCCAAACTTCTTCCGTTTTCAGCGCCGCAGGCGAAAATTTTGAGAATTTTTGTAAAATCTACAATATTTTTAAGTCAAAAATCAAAACGCCAAGCAAAAATATTTAAAATTAGCTGTTAGAATTTTTCCCGGTTTCCCGGTCCAAAAAAAGCCGGGATCGGGAACGGGAAACGGGAAATGAAAATTAACCGGCCGGGACCCGGACCGGTAAAACCGGGAATTCCCGATCCCGGTTTCATCCCGGCGTCTTCAAAAAAGCCGGGAAAAAGGACCGGGAAACCGGGAAACGGGACCGGGTCCCGATCCCGTTCCGATCTCTAAATAGAACGGTTTGTTTAAGTCATCCGTTTGTTTCATGCAATCTGGAATTGAAAATTTCTCGGGAATCCCTATTCGTGGGATTTTTTGAATCAAGATTTTAAGTAATGTCTTTTATGTATCTTTTTACATATCTTTACAAAAATAATTATAGTATAGAAAAACTACACCTTACAGTATTCTCGAATAATTGCCCATAGCAATCAGAGGTGGGTCGGAATTCCGATTTCCGACTTCCGATTTCCGATTTCCGACGTTTTTTTCCTTCCGATTTCCGATTTCCGAAATTTTGAAAAAATTTCCGATTTCCGAGAATTTTTGAAGCATATTTCCGACCAGAGATTTTTCCAAAATTCTCAAAATTTGCGCCTGCGGCGCAAAAATTTGAAGAAATCTAAACTAAGAACCTCCAAATTTCACAAAATTTTCGCCTGCGGCGCAGAAAGTGGAAGAAATCTGGCTTAAGGACCTCCAAAATTCTCAAAATTTTCGCCTGCGGCGCAAAAATATGAAGATTTTTGGCTTAAGGCTCCCAAAAATCCCAAAAATTTTGCCTGCGGCGCTGTAAATGGAAGTTGAATTGTATATAGGAGGATTAGGATTGATTAAGGTGGACTTTGAGTTATACCGTGTGATTTCAAAGGGTCGTATGTAATATCGAGGGGTCTGGGTGTGATGTCGAGGGATTTTTATTCCCTCAAATTACACTCAAGAAGGCCCATAATTTGCCGCTTACACTTTTAAATATTATTTCAGTTATGAAAATAAAAATTTTATTTCCGATTTCCGCCTTCCGATTTCCGATTTCCGGCGTTTTTTTCCTTCCGATTTCCGATTTCCGATTTCCGAAAAAAAATTTTGATTTCCGATTTCCGAGTTCCGACTTTTGAGTCATTTCCGATTTCCGACAGTTCCGATTTCCGACACCTCGGGCTGTTCCGACCCACCTCTGATAGCAATGGGATCAACCTAGAATATTGAGACCCAAAATATCGTTGACCCTAAATATTTTAGGGACGATATTTTGGGTCTCGATATTCTGGGGGTGGAGAAAAGAAAAACTTACAGCTTTCCGGCCCTGATACAAAATATTGGATTCAATTTACGATATAATTTTAAATTAACAAGTGAGAGAATTGGTTTAATCATTAAACTTTAATGTTTAAAATTAATCTCTATTTTTTCTAAATCTAAAATCCCCCAACAAAATTTTGGTAGTTAAAGTAAATAAGTTCCCCCAATCCTTAATTAAATTGAGTAAATTTTTTAAATTATTTTTATCTTTGTAATATATTAAATGTTTTGGAGATAAGTTTCAACATTTACTATTTACTAAAAATATAATGTTTGTTAATACCAACTGTAACCACCAAACAAAACAAAAAAATTCAAAAATCAAAATTAATTTTATTTCACAAATATTGTAAAAGTGGTTGGAGATTATTTTTAATTAAATTAATTATTCCCAATTTCCAAATTTCTTTCCTTTCATTCTTTTTATACTGGCTGATGTTCTCTATTTGTAATATATTCAAATATTTGTGGTTGAGTTTGAACCTTTCTAACAAATTTTATAATAGCTGGGTATTTATCTAAAATTTGCGGTTCAAAATGTCTAACTGTTGTCATATATTCTTTAAATTTGAAGAAATATTTTTATAAATCTTTTTAAAAAATACCAGCAATAACAAAATCTACCCAAGTAATTCCACTTGGCAAAAAGAATCCACTCCCTGACAATTTCAATAAATTAACATAAACTGGAAAATGTTTTTCAACATTGGGTAGAAAAATTGCTTGTCTAAGTGTTTGCTTGAGAAAATAATTTATGTAAATAATAATAATTATTTTTAAAGCCCGGACCGAGACGAGATCTCGATCGAAAATCTCGGCTACGGAGATCGAGATTTTTTCGAAATCTCGATCCTTGTACGGAACCTCCCAGTCCGGTCTCTAATTATTTATTAAATTTTATTTTTACTTTATCTCCTTGATGGAATCCAGCAACAACGTACATATATGGCTAATATATTTAATAATTAAGACAATTATTTATCTAAATTACTTGTAAATCCATAGCCACATCAGCGTGGAAATCTGAAATTTCATCAACTTTAGCCTGTTCCCAGTTATCTCTCCCAGAAAGTCCTAAATAAAACAATGTCTTTAATTAAAAATAAACAAAACCGAATTGTCTTGCCAAATATCGTGCGATTGTATGGCAATAGGTTAATGGCTTTCCATCAACCTAAAATATTTTAATTAATATTCAATATATTTTAAAAATTTATTTAAATTTATGGTACTTATCAGTTATCTCCCCACATTTCCTTTCTCTCCTGTTCTTTTTTGTGATATGTTTTGTGATTGTGATTTTTGTGATAGTTGAGTTACTTAGCTCGTTGAGTTACTTATCAAGTGAGACTAAAATTACTGTTTTTGAACCTTCCTTGAAAGTTTGGATAAAGAGCTTGATAATTTATTGTGATCAGCCAGCCTTAAAAGGAAATTCGTGGAGGTAACCGATTGTTCCTAATAGAATTTCGATAAATTTATAAAGCACTTACCTCAAGAATTGGAACTTTTCCGTAGACGGTACCTTCAATTATTTGTTTTTTAATCGCCCCAAATAAACTTACTATCTTTTAAAGCTAGCCATTGTTTCCGAGAAATACGAACATCATCAAAAGGTACATGGGCATAATGGAAAAGTAAACGAATTGGTTCACAAATTCCACGGGCATCAAAATAAATTAATTTATAATTAGTCATCTTGTAAAGTCCACTTGGCCTTGCTGCTGAATCTATAGATGGAGGAGAAGGAGCTTGAGGGCCAGAAGGAGATGGGGACTTTTTAGTTAAAAAAATATTTTCTTCCTAAAAATATTTAAAGAGACTTGCGGCGGTATTTGAGGAGGTGGAATAACTCCGGGAGGTGGCATAGGAGGACCTACAGGCACTTGAGCAATTGAAGATGGCCTTTCTTTAGGGGAAGATTTAGATTCTGGCTGAGAAGCTTTTAAAAAAGAAAATAATTTTTAATTTTATATTTATATAATTAATAGAATTTTTTATAAAAAAATCAAACAAGGAATTGGTTTTTGGACTATAATGGTTGTTGTTTTTGGCATTTTTGTTGTTGTCATTGTTAACGTTGATTTAGTTGTTTGCTGTCCAAAATTTTTGTTGATATTTGATTTATTTACAGAATTTCCATCAACTTTTTTCTTTTCAGCATTCGGCACAGATGGTGCCACTTGAAGAGGAAATTCATTTATTTTAGTTAAACTAAACTAAAATAACCTCTTTGACGGTTTCCAGAATTTACTAACTTTCCATTTTCATTTTTCCCAGCAGTTTGTCCCTTCTTTGAAAATGTTTTACGATCTTTTATTTGCGACGATGATGAAGGCAACGATTTATCTTCAATTTCATCAACTATTAACCTAACACCTCGATTCTTCTCATTTTTTTCTTCTTCCAATTTTTCTTCTCCCTCAACTTCATCAGTTTCTAAATTATTTCCACCTTCTTCCCCTTCTTCTTCTTCTTCTATTCCATCATCTCTTTTGTATCGGTTTTTTTGTTTTTCTTTTAAAGGAAGTCGAGAAACAATTTCAAGTTTTCTAATAGATGAGTGAATATTTACTTGTTGGTTAATATTTGGCAATTCCTCTAAAAAGCCATTTGGTGGGACTGGAGTAAAAAAGAAGTTTGTCACGTTTGTTAATAAAGTATTTCCATTATAATCAACAATTCGGGGCGCTTAAATTAAAATAAATATTTAGTCTGAATAAGAATTGAAAACTGATTTTGATTTTTTCTAGAAATACCGAGTGCCCTTTTTACTTCGGAAATATCGGAAAATAACTCTTAAATTAATTTTTAAAAATAATTTCCTCATTTTTTATCACAATTTTTTTTATTTTTTATAAGTAAACCCTGCCACTGAGTCGAACCTCGTCCGAAACAAATCGAAGATAATAATAAATGCTCCCAAATGCTTAAGAAGTAACCCAGGTATATTTTAATCATCATATTTTATCAAAAATTTTTCAACTCTCAAACCCTTTAATGCTGATTTTTGATTAATTTTGTGTATTTCTTTATAATTTTTATTTATTTCCTCCTTCAAAATTTCTAATCTTCCTTTAACACAAGTGTTTAAAATAATTAATTGAATAGTTAAATAACACAAAAATAGTAAAAATTTCGAAGAAAATTTAATCATTTCTTTAAATTTAATTAATTAAATTTAATTTTAATAATTATTTCTTTATACTTAAAACAAAAATCTTACTTAATTAAAAATCTTACCTAAATTATTAAATTAAATAAATTATTAGTTACCTAATTAAGGCTACCTATATTTTTTAATAAATAAATACATATACTAGATACTTTTGTAAAAAAATATTAAAAATGATTGGTCAGCTGGATATATTTATAGAAAAATGGACTATGCGCAATTATTTTCCCAAATTATTTTTATAATCCAATTTTTTAAAGAATAATTTTTGGTAATTAAATTAGTCAGTTGTTTAAATATTTGGATATTTTTTTTAAACATTAAATCTTTTTTTGTAATTTAATAATGTATTTTTTAGTATTAAACAACCAAAATCCAGAAACTTCAAGTATATTTAGACATAAATTAATAATAATTAATAATAAATCAAATTTATTTTCATTTTTTGATTAAAAATCTTACCTGTCCTTAAGAATTCTTGGATCTGGGAACCGGAGCTTTAGATATATCTCATAATTCTTTTTGCTCTACAAATTATTTTTCTATTATATTTATGTACATAAATATTCCTCTTTAATTGAATTTTATTAATTCCTCTTCAATTGAATTTTATTTTTCTTTTTTTATTTTTTCTTCCAAATATTTATTGAGGTTTTGTTCAGATAATATTACTTATCTCTCATGTTCATTTAAAAAAAAATAAAAATTTATTTTTCCAAATAATATCGATTTATCGGAAATATTAATAAATATCTAAGAGAATGCTTAAATATATTTTTATTTATTTATTAGCTATCACTGCCGGAAACACTCAAATGCCTTTAGAGAGTTGCTTTTTAACAGCTTTTATTGAACACTTCATGAGACAGCCCTTTTTTCTTCTTTTACCTGAAGCAGCTGTGAAATAAAAACAATTTTTAAATAAAAACGTAAATTTTATTTTAAAATTTTATTTAGAAATTGTTAAATATTTTTTTGTTTTTTAAGAAAATCATATTAATGTTGTTAACAAAAGTTCCATATAGGGAGAAAAATTAAAATAATTAACTATTATTTACTTTATTAATTTTGTTAATAAGAAAGCTATCATTTTAAAAAAATAAGAAAAATCTTTATGTTAATTTAAATTTTTGTAAACATTTACTAATGTACATATTTAATAATTTATAAAAATTAAAAATACTTGTAAAACGTTCGCTTAAAAATTATTATTTTTATAAAAACAATTTGCCATTTTTCAGAATTTTGTTAAAAAGTAAACTCAAAAAAATCAAAAATGAATGTCGGCGATAGGATTGAAGTTAAGGAGACTGGTAAGAGATAAACAAAAATTTAAAAATAATTTTTTTAAATTTTTTAAAATCAAAATAATATTTTATTAATAACAAAAATTATTATTATTATTCAATTTTACTCTTAAAAATTTTTTAGATATGAAGCCAAATATGGTAACTCAAGCGATGGATATTGTAAGGGATGGAATACAAAAACACAGTAAAGATAAAGTAATTTGAAATAATGATAATAAATTTTATCTTATTAATTTTAGGATATTGCAAGTTTTGTTAAAGATACTTTTGAACAACGTTTTGGCCCTACTTGGCATTGTGTAGTGGGAAGGAGCTTTGGTTCTCGAGTCTCTTATGAATTGGAGACTTTTGTATTACTTAAGGCTAATCAACATACTGTACTGGTTTTTAAATGTGGATGAAATAAAAAAGGAATAATCAAAAAAAGTAAAAATTATATTTTAAATAATAATCAAAAAAATTTTTTAATGTTTTACACAATTCATGAATAAATGTTTTTAAGCTTGAGCAGCAAATAATCTAGAAAACAGATTAATTAATTTAGTAATAATCTGTCTTAGACATATAAAAATCAGTTACTTTGAAAAATTAAGAAATTTTATTTCCAAAAAACACGGATATAATCTCACTTCGGTTATAATCCCACTTAATGGCCGGCCCCTAGACAAGGATAATGTATGCGGTAAAGAAAGTAAAGGTGTAAGAAGGTTCCTGCTGTGGCTATGCTTTTGATGAACTCCTACTACTATGATAACGAGATTCAACTGATATATTTTTTTTATTTTTATATTACCTGGCACTGGAAACGGATGAAATATTTCCGGGGGTTCTCTGGAGCAGGTCAACCTACCATCGGAGTGGGGGGTTTAAAAGTTAAGTTTTCGAAACAGCTCTGTTTACGATAAATAATGTATTTTACTTTTATTCTTTAATATACAAATTTTTACTTTACATAAATATATGCACTTTAACCTCATTAAAATTTAATTTCAAAATAAATATTTTTCTCAATAAATTTAATTGATTTAAAAATAAATATTTATAGTCTATAAAATAAATCGTCTATAAAATTATTAAAAATATTTAATTTTTATTTTAAATTTCGAAAATGTTTTTGAATTATTTGAATAAAAATGCTCAAACAATCCTGTTTCTCGCTGTTGTAATAACAAATTTTCCAACAGGAATAATTAGTGGATGTTTGTATATATTTTATTTATTTTATTAATTAATTTAAATAAATGTTAATTTAATATTTAGGTATTAATTCAAAATGTTTTGGACATGAAAATCTAAGGGAGATTATAGAAAGTAAAATTATAAAGTTAAAAAATAATTCTAAATATGTAAGCCGATCTTAAGTTTCCAATCCCGGACGTATTCTTTGATTTTTGGTTGGAATCACGATAGGTACTTCTCCGTTATACAACAACACAACAATTTAAAATATTATTTGTCAAGTGTTGGAATTTGCGAAATTACTTTATAAACCTAGTTTGACTAATAAATAATTTAATTAAACAGTAGGGGTTTGGTATAACTGAGGTACCTTCCAACTAATGTCGTCTGTCCAAATTTTAAAAATAATATAAGGAAATTTTGCTATAACCTAATTTTCTTAAATCATAATAATTTTACTAATATTATTAGCTCAATCTTCGACTAAATTTGAAATAACTCAAAATAATGCAAGATTATGCGCTAATGAAATAATTAAATATTTCAACAATGCTGTGCGAGGAGAAAATGTTAAATTTTAAATTAAATAAAATTTAAATATAAATTATTTTTAAAGGAAAATGAAACTGAAAATTTTTTATTAAATCAAAGGAAATTTTATAATGTTTTATATAAAATAAAAAATTATTTACAAAATTATGACAAATATTTCTATAATTATTGCAATAGAGCAATAAAAGATAATGAGGATAACACAAAATTGGAATATTTAAATTTTGTGCATAATAGCCAAAAAGCTTCCCTTTTTATTTCTACTGGTTTTCTAATTTCAACAGCAAAGTTTTTGATTGAGGGATTGGGAAGTTCTAATAATGTTTGTTATATACGATATCTTATTTCATAATAGAATGACAATTAGGCAGAATCTTGTGCAGGCCTCTAAATCCATCGAGTTGAAAATAAGTGATAAATTAAATATACTTCATTTAATTAGAAAAATATCGGTATATTGTAGGAATAACACACGGAAAAAGGCTATATTTACCGTTTTATACATATGATAAAATCAGAATAAACATAAGAAATATAGGCAAAATGATAAAGCTTTATTGTCTGCTTTTAAGCGAATAAATCTTTTGCTTTGATTCCATTTTTAATAAAAATTCGATTAAAATTAATAATAGGGTCAATAAAATTTAGAATAATTCTTATAAGAAGCTGAAATTAAATAACAAGTTTCAGGTGAATATAATAACCTTTAATTTTGTATATTTAATAATTAAATTAATATTTAAATGTTAATTTAAAGATAATTATAAGTGATGGAAGTTTTTTAAATAATTTCTAAAATCAAATTAAAATTAATTTTAAAGGAATTGTTTACTGAATTTACACGTAAATCACCTATAATTTGGAACAATTCAAAAGCCTTATTGTTAACGAAGTTAACTAATGAAAATGTAGGCGCATAATTATTTTAATTAAATCTTTATTTTAAGGTTAAAAATCAACTTTCTGAGTTTAATTTAGAAAAATTTGAAGAAAAATTGCGTGAGAAATATTCCGTCTCAGATCAGTCTATTGGAAGTAATTAATTTGAAATTAAAATATGGAATTTAATTTATGGTGTGTTAAGAAATTAAATGTCCACTATGAATTATTTTGTTTAAAAATGTTTTTCTAAAATGTTTTTATAGAGAATTATTGGTATTGAAGATTGTATCCACAATATCTTTGGAATAATTCTACATCGGGTTTTATGGGGGGGGGGGGGGATCTCAAAAATGTTAAACATGAGAACTTCTTCAAGAAGGCTTTAGTATTTTTAATTTTCTACTGGGAATGATCACAGAAATTCTTATTAAACTTCTGAAACTCCAAAGTGGATGTATAATTAGTTAACACACCATAAGAAAAAGAATGATGATTAAGATATTTAAATAACAATTATCTGATATATTCATTAGTAATGTATAATTAAAGTCAATTTTATTTTCTGAAATTTTTTAAAAATAAAATTAGTAAATATTTAGTAAATATATTAATTCAAAGTGTTTAATTTCTTTTTTTTTCTTCAATTAATATATCCATTTGGAGAGCGTAGATACCAATTATTTAAATGTACACAAATATCCTCAATTCCATATTTTGGTGTCCAATTTAAATTTTTTCTAGCATTTTCTATTTCACAACGAATTGAGGAAATATCTCCAGGACGTGGAGGCATAATTATTTTATTTATCTGAAAAAATAAAAATGAAAAAAATTTTAAATAAATTAATTAATAACTGGTTTTCCACAGGCCTTCTCGTAATTAGCTACCATTTCTAGAACTGTATGATCACGTCCAAGACCAAGATTGTATACCTTAAATAATTTTTATTTTTAATTTGAAAATATTAAAAACTACAAAATTAAATTTAATTCCAAAATGTTACCTATATATATTATAGATATTATTTTAAAATTATTATTTACTAACTTCAATATTTGTTTAATTTTGTAATAATTAAAATAAATCCTAATAATTTTCAAAATTATAATTTTTTAAATATGTATGTATTATTATGTGCCAGCGATCCTGCCGATATAAAAAATAAATTCCCAATTTCGGGAATTGGGACGACATGATCCCTGTTATTATTTACTAACTTCAATATAATTTTCATTTTCTTCATCACCAATTATTTTTCCATTATTATTAAAATATTCTTTATTTTCTTCTTTATTTTCATTAAAAAATTCAATTCTTTTAACAGACTTTACTATAGCTAAAGCTACATCACAAACATGAACAAAATCTCTACTTCCAGAACCATCACGTGTTGGAAATGTATTTCCACAAATATTTATTGCTTTTCTTTTTCCAAGAGCAACAGAAGCAATTAAAGGCATTAAATGCTTTGGCCCTTCCGAATTTATATCATCTCCTAAAAGTCCACTTGGATGGGCACCAGCAGGATCAAAAGCTCTCAGAATTATTATACACCAATCCTATAAAAATTATTAATTTAAGTGAAATTTAAATTAAAGGTGAAGGAATATCTTTTATGCCTTCAGCCTAGAAAATAAAAATATAGAACAAACGATCATTTAGAAAAAAATTGAACGTCTATTCTTTCTTGTAATTATAAATTAAAATATTAAGAAGTAAAAATCTCTTCAAAACAACATATTAGTAAGCTTGTTACATTCGGACAAGATTAATTTGGCATGCTAAACTATACCCCCCCCCCCCCCCCCCCCACATTTGTGTATTTTTACTTACAAATTTCTCAGCCAGATCAGATTTATTATTATTTTTATTATAAAAATATTTCTTAACCTTTGAGCTTTTACAAACATCCCGAAGTATTTGTTCAACCATAAATTTAGCCCAACCATAAGGATTTGTAATATCAACCCCAGTAGAGCTATTCTCAGTTACTGGCAATTCTTTAGGCACTCCATAAACTGTTGCGCTACTCATAAAAACTAATTTTTTCTTTTCATATTTTTCACACATCTACATAGATTTAATTAAATAATAAAATTAAAAAAATATTATACTTTAAGTAAATTTATTGAAGAAATTAAATTATTAGCATAATATTCTAAAGGATATTTAATTGATGGGGCAACACCTTTTGATGAAGCTAAGTGAATTACAATATTAAATTTCTCCTTAAAAATATTTTTTGTTTCAATAAAAAATTATATATTAATTTAACCGTTTTAAATATATTCTCTAATTCATCAATATATTGTAAATTACAACGTTTAAATGTTAGCATTGAGCCACTACAATTAGCCAAAATTAACACTCTCATTAAACATTGAGGCAAAACACAGACTTTTTCTTCTTCTAATTTATTTAATATTTTTTTAATTAATTTAAATATTGAAAGGTTATTTTTCAATTAATGTTTGCCTGGTGAACAATTAAATAACCAGGACTCATTTTTGGTAATAAGAGGCTTTTATTTAAAAATGATTGGAGTAATAGTCAGATTAAAAAATAAAAAAATAATTTAAACTTAATTACCCCGACTTTTTGAATTTCCAAGTGCAATAACTCTAAACCCGGCATTTAAAAGTTCTAAAACAGCATGAGATCCAATATATCCAGTAGCACCTGTTACCAAAACACAAATCTCTTGATTTTTATTTTGTAACATCACCATAATATTTAAGAATAAATTAATTAAAAATTAATCTGTAATAAATTTTAAAAATAAATAAAAATATATAAGATTAGACAGGTAAATTCTTTTAATAAATAAAATATAATTAATATCGAAATTAAAAATGTTTATTTAACTGCCATCAAAAAAAGTACAAGAAATAATTACTAAATTTTTTTTATTTATTTATCAGTAAAAGCAAAACAAGACTTTAAAAATATTTTTTAAAATAATTTAAATAATATTTGAAGAAAAATATTTTTATATGAAGAATAAATAATTTTTATTTTTGATATTAAAAAGAAGAAAGAGGAGAGTATTAAATTAATTAAAATTAATAAAATAATTAAAATTAAATAAAAATAAATAAATTAAATTTCAAAGGAAAAGAAACATTTTTTAAAGAAAAATAAAATAAATTTAAATAATTTATATATATATATTCTCTACAAAAATTAACATCGAAGATCAAAAAGGAATATGCGATTTGATAAAATCTATCGAGAAAATTTTAAAAAGGAATATTTTTAAGATAAAAACTAGTTTTTAGTAAAAAGAAGGATTTAAATGAAAAAAGATGTTTAATTTAGAAAAATCTTTTTTTATTTAGAGAAGTCCGCTTTCTCCTCATTTTTTCCCTCTCAAACTCTTCTTTTTTTTCTTCTTCAATTATTTCCAGTTCATTTACCACCCAATGTGACTACATATATGAATAAAAAATTATTAAAAATTAAAAAAAATAAAAAGAAAATTAATTATTTTCCTTCATTTTTTCAAATTCAAATAATTAGAATGGCACATTTAACTAAACTTTTCCCAATATTTATTATTTTAATATTTTTGGCATTTCTTTATATTTGTAAATATTTACCTTTAATAAATTCAAAGAAAAATAATGAAAATGAAATTAATAAAAAGAATATTGAAAAAGTGAAGAAAATTAAGTTGGTAATTGAATATTGGGGGAACTGAAAATGAGTAATTAGCGCTCAAGAAAATTATATCAAAATCCGGCTTCCGCTATCCAAAATCTTCGATTCGAATAGCAAAACTGATTTTTTGTTCTTAGTTTAGAGCACTTTTTTAGAAAAATATCTAAATATGCCCTCTCTCGTATCTCCCCCTCCCAATCTGTTTTCTAGCTTTAAAATTAATTTGTTCATTCACCATATCTATAGGTTTGTTGGGGCTGAAAATTATGAAAAATTTGATTGTAAAAATGAAAAGGTTATTTTTCCTTAAAATAATTTAAAGTTAATTTAAATTATTTTTAGATGTCCTATAATTGGCAAATTTTAAATAAAAGTGCAGGAAAAATAATTGAGGAAGTTGGAAAAGAATTTGATTGCAAACATATGAATATTTTAAATAAATATAAATTAACAAATCAAATTAAATTGCCGAATAATTATAAAGTTAGAAATATTTTTTAAATTAAATATTTAATTTTGTTTTTAAGGCAACAGAACCAGGAGATAAAGAAGATAGTGCTGTTTTTGTGACAGCTTCAGATGCTAAACAAATAGATGCACTTATTTCATTAATTGGTTCAATTAAACACAGATTTGGGACAAAGCAAAGAATTATTGTATACGATCTTGGGGGAATTTTATTAAATGCTAAAATGGTTGGTTAGTTGGTTTTTTCGCTAAATTAAAAAGGTAAGGAGGGGGTATGAAAAGGGAAATATTAAAAATAAGAAACAGTATTTATCTTGTAAGAAAATATATTACAACATAAATAATCAGTAAAGAAATACTACAACAAAACTTAGAAAATTTTATTTGAATGCTTCTAATTTTTCAGAAAGTTTAAAATAAAAAAAGAATACCGTAAAACCCTTATTAACTATCCTGGGTAATTATTGTTTCGACCTTCCACTGGAGGGAGTAATTATTGTTTTAATCTAATGCAGGATAGGGTAATTAATAGAAATGGGGTAATTATTTGAGGGGGGGAAGAATTAATACAGGTTATACCAACATTAGTAAAATTCTTGTATTACAAAAATTAAATTAATATAAAATAAATTTTTAGATGTATTATATAAAAAATCTTTGTTCAGTAGAATATCGTCGTTTTAATTTAAACCAATTACCTCCAAATTTACGTAATATTAAAACATTTGCTTGGAAAATATTTATTTTAGCGGTTTCTCTTTTAAATTAAAATTAAAAATAATTAATTAATTAAAGCAATCACATTTGGAATTTAATACTTTTATTTATGTTGATACTTCTGTTAGAATATATAATGGAGATTTTGAAAGGCATATTTATGGAATTAATAAAAGAATTTTAAGTCCATTTCTTTTTAATATGGGCACAAATCATGGAATTAAAAGAGCTACTTTGCCCGGTAATTAAAAAAAATTCTTTTTAAAATAGGTCTTGGCATTCAACTGGGAAATAACTAAATTTTTCTAAAAATCCGTTTTCTCAGAGCTCAAATTTGGGGTCTGGTTTAATAATATGTATTTTTTCTATTTTTGGGACATATGCCCAATTAGTTTGGAATTGTAATTTATCCGTTTATATAAAGAAGTTCAAATGCCATGGGTCTAAAACAAGAAAATATTTAAAGATCTAAATCAAAAATTATAAAAGAGTTATTTGCTAAAAATTGTATATAAATCAGGGTTGGATACGCTTCCGCGTTCCGCTTTCTAAAATTCAAAATTCTCCAGATCTACATATATTTCCGTCAACATATAATTAAAATAAAATTTATGTAGTTATAATTTCTAATTTAAACAGAAACATTTGAATATCTTCCTCTTTATACATCTGATGAAATTGATATTGAAATGCAAGAAACTCATTTTATTATTGTACAAAAAAGTGAATTTTCTAAGGAAATATTAAAATGGTTTTTATATTTTAATTTAATATTTAATTTTTAAAAAAGGGCAATTTTATGTTCTTTAACTAAAGAATGTTTTGAACCTAAAAATAATACAAAATGTAATAAAAATCAACTTTATATAAAAGATGATAGTCTTTTTGGAATATGCCATAATAATGATAAAAGTGTTCTTACTATTTTAATTAATAATGCTGAAGAAGAAATAATTTCTAGAGGTTTTTTTGATTTTATAAAGAGTATTATGTAAGAAAGATGATTTTAATTTATGTGGTGTTAGTAAAATCGCCTAGTTGAAAAACTCCAAGTTTATTCCAGACATTTCCCTTAAAGACATTTATTTTGTTAAAAGAATAATTTAAAAAAAATATTTTTTTATTTTTTAGGTAATTCAAATTTAATACTTCATTCAAGTTACAACCACCATAGCCGTAGACTTAGTATTTTCCCATTTACTAATTACCAAATATTGAGAGATCATCGAGATAATCCGGATGAAGTTCTTAAAAGACATAAATGTTAATTTATTTTCAGAAAATTATTTTTAGAAAAATAAAAATTATATGTATATATTTTTAAAATTCAGGGAATTTATAGAGTAAAATTAAATTGTTTAAATTTTTTGTGATAAATAAAAATAAATTGTTTTGCTATTAAATTAATTAATTTTTAGTTATTTTAAGTCTAAAAAATTAATCTGAAACTTATTAACCTCATTTAGAAAAATTTAATAATTAAAAAAAAATTTTTATAAATATTGTGAGGATGATTCACCTAGAGAATTTAAAACACTTAGGCGGAGGTTAAACTATCTAAAAGGATAAAAGAGAAAGCATTAGTCGATGCCCCGGTAGTTTAGAGAGCTAGCAATAACTACGAGGAGGCCGCAGTTGGGGGAGGCCTGCCCGGTGGCTAAAACTTTTGCTAAATATTTTTTGTTTTTTATTTATTTTAAAATAAAATTAGAAGAGATTTAAAAAAAATTATTTGCAATTAAATAGATAAAATTGATTAAAAAATTTTTTTTCACGAGGGGGATAGCGAATGAACACGAGAGACCAATCATTAAATATTAATTAATCAAAATAAATGCCCAAACATCAATTTTTATTTTTAAAAATTTAAATAATTAATTTAATTGTAGACATTTTAAAATAAATTTTTAATTAAAAAATTAAACAAGAACAAGCTTTTCTTTTTGTTTTGCTAATTTATTAATTAATAATTTAAAATTTTGCTTTATCTTTCTTCTTTTAGTAATTTTGAAATAAATATATTTTTAAAAACACAAAAAGTTCAGAATTATTTATTACCTTAAGTAGAAGTGAAACGAGTAGTAGGTTTAGGATTCGAGCCCTCTTTATTTCAACAGAAGGGAAAATGTATATCCGGGTCAAGAGGATTTAGAGAGAGGGAAAGTATGGAATGCCAATGAGCCAGATTTCTCAATTTTCTGCGCCGCAGGCGAAAATTTTGACAACTTTGGAAGGCCAAGGAGCCAATTTTTTCAATTTTGAAAATTTGAAAAATCATTAGTCTGAAATATGCTTTAAAAATTACGTCGGAAATCGGAATAAAAAAAATAGGAATTCCGACCCATTTCTGCTGTAGATGATAAAAATTAATATAGGTAGTTTTTTATTAAAATAATATATTATTTAAAACAAAAATGTTGAATTTATTTAAAATAAACAGAAAATAAATTATATAGATTAATTAACAAATTTAAATTAAATTAGTTAATTAAATTGATTTATAAGAGCTCAATGAACAAGCTTATTTTTGGCCAAACTACATATATGGCCAAGTGCATTCAAAATAATTTTTACCCTCTCTCTTTACTCTCTCTTTTACTCATTTGACAAAATTAAATATAATTTATTTTTAAATATTTATTTATTTATTATTAAATTAATTAATTAATTAATATTTATTTTTAATTAGAGATTATTAATTATTTTTTCAGTCAATTTTGATGAATATAATTATTCTTTTTTATTTCTTTTTTATTTTTAGCATTTTTCCTTTTCAAATTATAGGACCAAAAGGTAATTTTTTAAATTTAATATTTAAATAAAATATAAATTAAAAGGTTGGAATATTATAAAGAAAAATATAAAAAATAAAAATATTTATCGAGGTAAAATTTAAAAAAAAAATTAATTTTAATTGTAATATATTTTAAGAACCAGAACCAAAACATTTAATTAAAATAAATGATGCAAAAAAAATAACAATTAAAATAATTGAGGATATTAAAGCTTATCTTTATTTAAATCAACAACCAAGATTATTGAATGATGTTGAATTTTTAAATTATTTTGTAAATGTTTTTAAATCGAATCAAAAAAATTATCTTGAACAAATTAAAGAAAAAGAGCCTTTTTTAAATGAAAATTTAAATGTTGAAGTACCTCCTCCTACAATTTATTCTTTGCTAATTAATCATGAAGATATTATTAAAGAATATTGTAATGGTATTTTGGAAATTTCTGGTGAGGGAAGTAGTAATAGAGGAAGGGATATTATTAAAGAAAGGGAAAATTTTAATGCTTCTAATTTATGTAAAATTGGGTTTATGTTTGGATTTGCTAAATTTTTTGTTAAATTTTTTTTGGAGGAATTGAATAAAAATGGATATTCAAGTGAAAATGAAGAAAATGAAATTGAGAAAATTAATTGGGGAAATTGGGTAAAGGTAAATAAATAATTAAGAAAGAATTATCAAGTTAAAATTATTTTTAGGAAACAGAAGAGTTTTTAAATAATTGTTATATAATTTGGGAAAAGACAAGACATATTGATAATGCTGAAAGTGCTAAAATTAAAACAAAAAAAGTAAGAATTTCTTAAATAAAAAAATATATTAATTAATTAATTAAATTTATTTAGTCTAAAAAGTCTAAAAATAAATTTGAAGTTCTCAATTTAGAAGAAATTAAGAAAGAAATTAAAAACAAATATGAAATTAAAGAAATTAACGAATTTGATTAGATTTTGTCCCGTTGTTTTCATCTTTTCGAATTTTTCTTCTATTAAGTTTTTTTAAGTATTAGGAATTAGGGGCGGTATTTTTTGAGATTCTCGATAAACAAAAATTTTGGTCAACCAAATATTCGTTTAAAAATTTAATCCCCAGGAATTTATTTTAAGTATTTAAATGTTTCTAAAATTATTTTTATTTACACATTATCTTTTATGGATTATTCAAACTATGTAATTATTTTTTTAGTAAATTATTTAATATTTTATATTTTTACTTTGATAATTTTTTAAATTAATTTATCCTCAAATTTTACTTTTGAAACTGACAAAGGTTTGATTTCAACAGAAATTGTAAAGAAAGAATTTTGATTTAGGTGGAGAATAAATAATAATTTAAATAAATAAAATTTATTCTGTTTGAAATAAGGAAAGGGAGGCTTTAGATTTAGTATATATTTACCCTATAAAGGGTATAGGAAGGAAAATTTTAAATTAATAAAATATTTAGTATTCTTCACAAATTAAATAAATAAAATTCTCAAACAAATTCTAAATTTAAAAATAACTATTAAATTTAGAAAACTTTTTTTTACTTTTATTATTAGAAAATAATTTATAATAATTTGGTGTTAATTTTTTAAATTAAGAAACTTCTAAAATTATTTTTAAAAATTAATTTAAATTTTATTTTTAAATAAATTTATTATTAATTAATTTATTAATCAATTATTAATCATTAATTATTGTTTAACGTGATTAAAGGCAAGAAAGGGAGAAGAATATATCCCC